ATGAATGAAACTCAAAACTCAGACTTAGCAGTTTCACACTTAGCCACCGTTGGTCTTGTCTGCAAAAGGGAACCCATAATTTTCTCAGACAATATGTGAACAGGGCTGCTCCCATACAGCATCTGAGTACATAGGGCTCACTACTCTCTTACTTGTGACTTGTTCCATCTCCCAATTTCTTAGCCTGTGGATCCCTCACCTCTCAGATCCAGCTTCTCCTCTATCTTTGCCAACCATCCCCAACCCCCAGGACTGAATTCTCCACTCAAAACCACTGTGTGATCTGTAAGGCAAAATGGCTATCCATCTAACCCATAAGATCTTCCCAACCATAACCCTGTTCTCAGCATCCTCTCCTAGATTATTGTTATTCACAAATGGGCACCAGGAACTACCTAGAACATAGAGATACATAAATTAATCTTTGCTACTCCTTGCAAAGAACATTGAGCAGTCCGAGTAAGAAGCAGTGTAGGAAGTACACTACACATCAGCACCTGTGCTTAGAGCTTCTGCCTCATAGCTCGACCTGGGGCTCACATTCAACATATCTTTTGCATATTTGATACTTCTTTTCCTTTTCCATGCAGACATAACATATGTAGCATCCTGTGCCTCCCCCTCAGCCACATCAGCCCCTCACTGTGCCGCTGGTTGTGCTAACTCTTTGACACATCCATTTTCAGAGCCCTCTAAAACCATCTCCAACTCCAATATGAAAATTTACTCAGTCATTTGTGAGTGATGTGATAATGGGCAGAAAATTAGCAATGTGCATCGCTAATGTACACATTGGGTTATTGGAAAAGTCATGACGTATTCTTAGATGTTTTTCTATGCAAAAATACATTATGACTTTTTGACAACCCAATATATATTTTATATATAAAATTATGAATATAAATATAACATGTATATCAGCAGCCCCTTTACCATCTATATAAGTAGCATTCTAAGGTTCTGAGATTAGAACATTTGGGCCATTTCTTAGCCCAAATTAATAATAGTGTTACAGCAGGTAGGTGGATGACAGCAATGGGGAATCTGAGGTGTATAATAGGCAAAGGAGATTGGTATGCATTCAGAATGCTAGTTACATTCACAATATCAGATCACAGTGAAGATTCAAAGAGATACTACCTGCCCAACAGAGTCAGTTCTCAAAAACAATCAGCTGCTGGAACCAGCAGAAGACATAATGGATATGTCACTGGACTCCCACATGATCAACCATGGTTTGAGTCTCAGACCCAGCAGCTTCAAACTCACACCAGGCGCATGTGCATGCATATCCAAAATACCAAGAGGAGAATGGAGAAGGGATTGCTGCATGGCCATTCCCCCAGGGGGTGATTTCTTGCTTTCTGTCTCTCTGTCTCTCTCTGTCTCTGTCTCTCTAATGAATGCAAACCTATAGCAAAAAAAAAAAAAAAACCTGTCCATGATACCAATATCCAAGAAATTCCTACAGTAACTGGGTACTAGCCAAATCAACACAAGAAAACTAACCATCACAGTCATTTTTCTTTATTACTTTGTACATAATATATATGCTTAATACATAATGCATGTGTTCATCCATGCCAATATATAAAAGCACAAAAATTATTTAAACCCCATGTCTGCTTTTCTTCCTTTGCTCTGTTACTGTTTCCTAATTTGGGACCTTGAAGGAAGTAATAAGCTACTTGAGCAACTTGTAAATTTCAAAAACAAAACAAAACAAAACAAAACTGGCAAGAATATTCTGTTTTCTGATTAAAATAACACTTTTTGCTTTTGTCTAAAATTATATCTGCTCCACTTAGCAAGCCAGTTATTTCATACAAAACATATAAAGAAGTGCAACTTAATAAATGCATGGTATGAAGACCTTTTGAAACATGCAGTTTACTCTGGGAAAATTTATAGGTATAAATTTTATAAATTTTAGTGGGCAAAATCAGCACACAGTGAATTCAAAAAGCTTTCTCCTTGGGCGGCGCAGTGTCAAAACCATGAATGAAACTCAAAACTCAGACTTAGCAGTTTCACACTTAGCCACCGTTGGTCTTGTCTGCAAAAGGGAACCCATAATTTTCTCAGACAATATGTGAACAGGGCTGCTCCCATACAGCATCTGAGTACATAGGGCTCACTACTCTCTTACTTGTGACTTGTTCCATCTCCCAATTTCTTAGCCTGTGGATCCCTCACCTCTCAGATCCAGCTTCTCCTCTATCTTTGCCAACCATCCCCAACCCCCAGGACTGAATTCTCCACTCAAAACCACTGTGTGATCTGTAAGGCAAAATGGCTATCCATCTAACCCATAAGATCTTCCCAACCATAACCCTGTTCTCAGCATCCTCTCCTAGATTATTGTTATTCACAAATGGGCACCAGGAACTACCTAGAACATAGAGATACATAAATTAATCTTTGCTACTCCTTGCAAAGAACATTGAGCAGTCCGAGTAAGAAGCAGTGTAGGAAGTACACTACACATCAGCACCTGTGCTTAGAGCTTCTGCCTCATAGCTCGACCTGGGGCTCACATTCAACATATCTTTTGCATATTTGATACTTCTTTTCCTTTTCCATGCAGACATAACATATGTAGCATCCTGTGCCTCCCCCTCAGCCACATCAGCCCCTCACTGTGCCGCTGGTTGTGCTAACTCTTTGACACATCCATTTTCAGAGCCCTCTAAAACCATCTCCAACTCCAATATGAAAATTTACTCAGTCATTTGTGAGTGATGTGATAATGGGCAGAAAATTAGCAATGTGCATCGCTAATGTACACATTGGGTTATTGGAAAAGTCATGACGTATTCTTAGATGTTTTTCTATGCAAAAATACATTATGACTTTTTGACAACCCAATATATATTTTATATATAAAATTATGAATATAAATATAACATGTATATCAGCAGCCCCTTTACCATCTATATAAGTAGCATTCTAAGGTTCTGAGATTAGAACATTTGGGCCATTTCTTAGCCCAAATTAATAATAGTGTTACAGCAGGTAGGTGGATGACAGCAATGGGGAATCTGAGGTGTATAATAGGCAAAGGAGATTGGTATGCATTCAGAATGCTAGTTACATTCACAATATCAGATCACAGTGAAGATTCAAAGAGATACTACCTGCCCAACAGAGTCAGTTCTCAAAAACAATCAGCTGCTGGAACCAGCAGAAGACATAATGGATATGTCACTGGACTCCCACATGATCAACCATGGTTTGAGTCTCAGACCCAGCAGCTTCAAACTCACACCAGGCGCATGTGCATGCATATCCAAAATACCAAGAGGAGAATGGAGAAGGGATTGCTGCATGGCCATTCCCCCAGGGGGTGATTTCTTGCTTTCTGTCTCTCTGTCTCTCTCTGTCTCTGTCTCATGCAAACCTATAACAAAAAAAAAAAAAAACCTGTCACTGTTACCATTATCACAGAAGTTCCTTAGTCCTCAAAATTTCACTGTGAGTAGAAGACAAGTTGCTTTCCAAGATCACTTTATCTCTTACCTCTCTCCCACTACATAGCAGACTACTTGAGTATGATTGACCCCAGCTTTAGGATAAAGTCATACACATACTAAAAATGCCATCATGTTTGGTCCAGTAATGGACATATTTAGCTAAAATGGTTTAATCAAAGATTTTTTTTAGTTATGGGAAAGCTTCTACATACAGGTATCTTTTTATTTTTTGGAGAGGTTTTTGCGATAGGGCACATGCGCTCACCAGACAGACAGAGAGAGACAGAGAGACACAAAGTGAGAAATCACCCCCCAGGGGGGGATGGCCACGCCGCAATCCCTTCTCCTCCATTCTCCTCTCGAGATCTTGGGCATGCATGCACACGTGCCTGGCGTGAGTTTTAAGCCACCAGGTCCGGGATGCGAACCGCGGTCAACTACATGAGAGTCCAGCAACAAAGCAATTACGCTAACTGCTGGTCCCCATACAGGTATCTTGATGCATAAAGAAAGTCAGCCTAAGTATAAAGACAACAGACAGAATATGATGGAGCTGAAATATGCAAAGTAGAGCCAAATCCCTGATCAAATTATGCCTAAAGTCCTACCTCTGGGCCCTTCAGTTAATCAATGCATTGTCTCCCTTATTATTAAGCCATTTGGAGTTGGCTCTGCCAATCCTCATCACCTAAGTCATCTTGGAGATAAGGAAATATTGTCAGCCTCAGTTTTTAGGTGAGGAAACTAAGGCTCAGAGAGATAGGTGACTTGTCAAGTTTGGATAGGTCATTATGGAGAATTGAACCCAGACCTGAGCGACTCCATAGCCAGTGTTGTTTCCCTTACCAAGAACTATGTGGTTGTAGCTGCTTGATCTTCTTCCCTTGGTTCTGACAATACTGGGAGTTCTCTGATGGACAAAAACAGGTTAGATGGTCCCACCTGTGGAGGGAATCACCCAGAGGCTGTATACCATGTAGTACCAAATGGAGACTAAGCCAGAACCATGGAGCCGGGTGTAAATGACACAAGAGGCTGTGTCAACTGGTATATATTTAACATCTCCTTCCCAAGTTGATTCCTTCAGAGAAAACTACTTGAGAATATTTCCTCTTAGCTCCTCATAAAAGCAATTTCAGCTGCACTTTAATTCTCTCCAAATAAGATGTTATAATACAAGTCCAAGGGAAGTGGGAAGAAAGTCGACTATTTTGGAGAGATCAAGTAAGTGTCATGAATTGCTCTAAGCAACTGCTTAGGTGATTTTATTTTATCACTGTAGCACTGTGGGTAGATAATTATGGTCACTGGACTCATGTGGAAACTGAGTCACTGTAAGTTTGGGTTGCTTGGTCAGTTGATAAGTGGACAAGCCAGAGTTCAAATCCCAGGCTTCAAGCTGGTTCTATGATATCACATGGCCTCCTCTAAAAATATCACTACGACCATTGTTCTGGAACATTGCCTAGTGCAATGACCTCAACAACATTAGGAAGGACAACCTAGCCCAGAGCATAATGAGAGAGAAAAAGCCATAGACACAATGAAGGACAATGTGCAGACAGTCTATGGAATGCTCAGGTGAATTCACAAGGCAATTGCAAACGCCTGCTGGATACAAAGGTAACTTAGGGAACAGACAGCTTCAGTGAACACCCCAAGGACAGCCATGATCTCAGATTCAGTCATTATCATGTTCCCAAAAGAGATCCAAGGCCAGCCACAAAAGGACCAATGACTCATGACTAAAAAGGCATAGACAAGTTTTTCTCTGGCCCGACAGAGGTGAGTGGGCTTTGGTGTTGGAGCATGAACTATCCTTTGGGGAAGGATGGCAAAGGCACCTGGGCATTGAGTCTTTGAGTCTTTTCTTTGCCTCAGCAATTTTGAAAACTATTCTGTAAGTCAGCTAGAGTCACTTCCCACCCACTGTCCAAAGCAAATCATGATTTATGATATGGGAACTAAAAGAACGCTTGGTCATCTCTTTGCCTGCCTGCTTCCTGGGGTGGAGAATGGACTAGTATGGTTTTCATGTGTAATTTTTAAAGGTGTTATCAGTTTTTAATTTGACCAAGGAGGACTGTTGCTGGGAAGGAATGAGGTCAATAACTTGGGTCCCAGGAAATGTCTCAGCCCTTAACTGCCAGAGAATATCCATGTTTCTTTTCAGAGTTGAAAGGACGCAGACAGAGGCAGGACAGAGAAGGAGTAGAAGAAGGAAACTTTCTAGGGCTGCTGGTTTGAAATAAAGAATGGCATGGCCCAATAGGGACTTGACAGGAGAAGCAGAAGGGGGTGAGGATCAGAAGGTAGCAAATGCCTGAAGCTTAGATACAAACATCCATGACTGTTGGGATTTTAGGAATAGGTTTTCTTTAGTTTGGTTTAATACCATGATTTTCCAAGAAGACAACTGATCCTGATCAAATGCTAGTTTCTCTTTATTGTTCTGCCTTCAACCCTCATTATTTTTTCCCATCAGTGATGCCCTGGGTTGGTCCAGAAGAACTAACTAAGAGATTAATGATCTAAGATTCAGAAGTAAATTAAAATTGGCTACTGAAACATTAGTTTATAAGGGATGGAAACTACTGCTTCATGGCAGTTCTGGTTATATAATTTGTGACATTCACCTTTCCACTCGTTCATTTCACAAAAATTTCTGGAGAGCCTACTTTTGGCCAAGTCTTGTACTGGGAGCTGAAATCAACTTCATAGTATTTTTTCCTCATGGGTTGGTGATGTGGTGATGTTGGTAATGTTGGTGAAGGTGATGACAGTACGGTAGTGGTGCGGTGCTGGTGGTGGTAATAGGACAGTGGTGAATGGTGGAGTGATGCTGACCATGACAGAAGAGACTGACAGTGGTAGTGTTATCAGCCAAACCAAGTCTGGCTGCTGCTTCTTGTGGCCAATGAAACAGGAGGCAGAAGCTGGAGAAGACAGGGGCTTATTCTGTAACCAGTCGTAGGGAGACAGTCAGCAAACACCGTCAAACTGTCTAAAAACTCAACATGTTCTCCATATTTGTAGGTACAAGACAGACGCACATGTAAACCATTCTTCATTGTAATCAATCAGAGTCAATCACTTCTGAATAATTATTCTGATTCCTTCAAATACCTGTTCCTGGTTTCTCTCTGACCATTTCTCAAACAGACCTCCCTATGACTCAGCACTCAGTAAGATTGTTCTCATTAGAGTCCTTTGTTAATTCCAAATTG